GATGTACATGTCTATGGGCCACAGTAACCACTTACCATCAGGTGGACTGTTTGCTCTTTTGTCACCCTTATCCTATATGACAATTAACCGAATCGATTACTAAAAAATACACAAAGTAATTACTCCAAATTTATCGCATTTAGTCATTTTAAATTTTTGGCGTTACGTTGTTTGCGTAATAATTTGTTTTGATGTCAAAATTACCCGAACTTCCTGCCTTTTTAATGTGTATTTGATTGATGAGATTCACAATTGGACCCGGTAGGTGGCGCTGTTGTTGAGGTCAAGAAACCACCGCTTTATAAAAAGAATTGCGAAGATTTGTGTTTATTTAAAATTGCTTTAGCCCTTATAGGATTTGGGCATTAACGGTATTATTAATGATTCAAGTCGGCAAAAAGTTTCCTGCCAAGGTTCTTTCATTATTTATTAGTTAAGTTACTGGTGAACAAAAATTAATTAAAAAAAAATCTGTACTTTTTATCTTTTAAATTTTAAATGCGTGGTAATACATTATTTTAAGTGACATTACTGCGCACGCACACATTCGTAAGAGCCCATAAACCACATTCAATTTGGGATGGTTTCAAATAAAAGTAGAAGCCTTATTTACTCCTATTTTCAAAAACTGCAGAATCAGTATATCATTATTTATACATATATTATACATAATATGTTAAAGAACTTAAGCTTAAAATTTGGCTATCCTATATAAATAAAGACTATTAACGGAATCGATTACTAAAAAATACACAAAGTAGTAACTCCAAAATTATCGCATTTAGTCATTTTAAATTCTTAGCTTTTCGTTGTTGGCGTATAAATTTGTTTTGATGTCAAAATTACCCGAACCTCCTGCATTTTTAATGTGTATTTGATTGATTAGATTCACAATTGGACCCGTTAGGCGCTGTTTTTGAGGTCCAGAAATCACCGCTTTATAAAAAGAATTGTGAAGATTTGTGTTTATTTAAAATATCTCTAGGCCTTATAGGAGTTGGGCATTAACGGTATTATTAATGATTCAAGTCGGCAAAAAGTTTGCTGCCAAGGTTCTTTCATTATTTATTAGTTAAGCTTCTGTAAAACAAAAGTTTCTGCGGGAAAAGCCGGACCGGGTCGCTAGTATAATATATAAACTTATTGAAATCCATTTTAATTTGTATTCAATCCAATTGAGTTCTGATCTTCCTTATTAAACTAATGTTTCTGTGTTAAAAGGGGATGGAAAGTAAACAAAACAACAGTTAAGCTGGTTAAACTTTTGTGTATTGTAGCGAAGCATATACTTAGAGATTAAATTTTAGGGCTTCGGATATGGCTTATCTAGTAGATATTGAAGTACTTTTAGAGTAATTAAACCGATTTATAATCATACAAACATAAATATTCCATTAATAAAGTAAAATAATACGCTAAAGTGATTGAAATATTTTTTGTCTTATTTTAAAAGGTTATCCGAAAATGGCGATTTTTTTTAAAATAAAATAAGGGTGACAAACGAGCACAGAGTTTACCTGATGGTAAGTGGATGCTGTAGCCCATAGACATTTTCGTTCTTCAACGTTCATTCTTGATTAAGAATCAAATTCCAGATGCGATACCCCTGAGGACTAAGATGGAATGCCTTGTTTCCAGTGAAAAAAGTCTCCGGTTCTCTACACTCACAACACAAAACATAGCAGTATTAGGCTGCTATTTTGCGCTGGTATTCTGTGAGAGCGTGATCATACCCCCGTCGAGCCGAGCCTTTTGTGCTAGAACCATAATATTGCTGCAACATGGCTCTTCTACGTTGGTGATTGTAAACATGTGATAAAGCGTGAAAAGCTTTTCAGAAGCGCTGGACGGTGGGGTGGCCTACATCTTGCCCTTAAATCCTTTGAGATTATAGAAGACCTATATCCAGCTGTGGGACGTGTGTAGGGTAACTTTAGCTCTAAGCTCAAAATTTCTCAGCTGTCACTAAGGTATACTCATATAAGGCTTCTTGATTCGCCTGCTTTCAATTAAAACAAAAACATGAGAATATTGAGGGTAGTTCTAATTTGTGCACCATAAATAATTTTGCCATGATAACGATAATAGAGGCGCTTAATAACATTTGCCCGATATCACGCATTATATAGGTTCAATTCTAAACAAGTTACATACGGGGATAACTACAGATTTGAAAGAGTCAGCATTTGATAATCTGCGAATCAACATAACCAATATTTCAGCCAAAACACAAATGATTGGTCCCAAAACAAATAATCTAAGTATAATCACAGATAAAGGATTCGAACCCGAGACCTCATGATCAGGAACCGCGTTTACGACGACTAAACCAATGAGGCATGATTTTATTATATAAATGACTCGGGTACGTTCATCAAGTGTTTAGATTATATACATATTTATATCACTGTGCCTAAGTGACAGAACACTTGACGTGTTTCTGATCATACAAAGTCATACTATTTTCGAAAAAGTAAGTAATTATAAGTTACTAGTTTTAAGTACCAATTATAATATATAGAGCAATGTAAAAATGCAACTGTAAACTGTTTACGCAAAACTTTTTGGTTAAATGAACTGCTTTGCTTACCATAAACGTCACAGGAAAAGTTCGTGTTAGTTTCGAACAACTTTAGAGTTTCTGTTAAGGAAACTTTTAAACTGTTGTAAGCTCGGAAGTGAAGTGATTAAAAATGCATTTCCAAAACTTATTGCTGATATGTTTTAGTTACATAAGTTGGTATACGTTTTATTTTTCGATATAGTGAAAATTTAGGTCCGTGAAATGATTCAAATAATGTATTCTAGATATTATCTAATTTTTAAAATTAGACGATTATTGTGGCTACGTTAAAGCTATTTTAGTTGTAACACCAATGGGTCGGCTCGACCGGGATGGTCCTCCCGAGTCCTTCTCAGAATATCAGCGTATAATAACAGATTAACGCTGATTGCTGTGTTTCGTATGATGAGTGTAGAGAACCGGCTACTGATTTTACTGGAAAAGAGGCATTCCATCTTAGTCCTCAGGAGTGAAACACCTCTGCATTTTTAATTCTTAATCAAGGATATATTTAGATGGCTATGGGCCACAGCTTACACTTACCATCAGGTAGACTACATGTTCTTTTATAACTTTTACTCTATAAAAAAAAACGAAGCTGCTTTAATTAGCCAAATTTCACAAGCAAGAAAATTGAATAGGATACTAGGAAGTATCGTTGAAGGTATTAATTGTAGTTTAAAGTAATAATTTATCACGGGCACATCAGTGAAGAAAATAATCGTGAGAAAACCTGTCTAAGAAATTACGTAACAAAAAATATTTATCGTGGTTGTGTGTAAAGTTTATCAACATCATAATATTAGCTCATCAAAAGTCCAATACTGACAATAGGCCTCCTGCATAGATCTGCTCATAAGGGAGATATTTGCCATAGTTGCCAGGCTTGGAAGGCGTGTTGCTAACCACAGTTTTAAATTACTATTGAATTGTTATCAACAAGATGCTGCTGCCCAGCTTCCGTTTGTGTTATCCTCTGTTGGCTCTTAACCCTTTACTTGGCAGATATTTTTTTTTCTTATTTTATTGTTTTTCTTTAAATCAGGGTATTTAATTAGGTGAATAAAAGGTGAATAAAATATTAAAAAAAATCTTTTGCTTTTAGATATTTTTTTATTGAACGTATCCTACAGTGCACACTGCCAGGTAAGCAACAATTTACATGATAAAAAGTACGTATCCTGACAGATACAGTGCCAGGTTTACATTGTAACAAAAAATTGATTCTAATTGTAATTAATCAACAATTATTTATCATTTTTATTATCAAATAAACAATCTCAAATTATGAGATCACGTCATATAATCAAACAATACAAATTATTTGCTTTACCATAATATTTGGTATGATATGCATGAAAACAGTTGCGCTCTTCTACCAAATAAAGTCTTAATTTACATTTTTGACAACGAATTGGCCTTTTGTGCAATTTTTTCACCTGCCTTTAGTTTGAAATACTGGCATATGCCCAACTTGGTCATATCATACAACGTAAATGGGTCTCTCTGCAGCTGGTTTTTTTATTAGAGGTACATAATTTTTGAGTTTATTGGCAGAAACGCCTCGGTCAAACAAAAGTAAGTTTCGGTAAATTTCATATCTGAATTCTTTCAATGCCATTATTTTTGACTTATTTGATGCACCTCGTCGTTACATAATCCAAGCGTTATTACATATTACATATATTACACATATTACATATATCAAGGATTTGCGAAAACAGAGGTAGATACCAGCGATGTCCCTTGAATTCTGTTATGTATAATGCAATAAGCATATCCGCTAAATCCACGCCACCCATATTGGAGTTGTACTCCTTTGTCATTCGTGGACATGGTACTGGTATTTTCTTTCTGAGTACTTTGTTATACCGTAGTACTGTTTGGAAAGGATGTGAGTCTACGTATGTGCTTGCAACAGTGACACATTTGTTGTCGTACCACTTGGTAACAACAATCTTGTTTTTGTTACACACAACCTGAGCATGTGAACCTCACTTTCTTTTTTATTTTTTTATCAGTAGGAAGTTTCTCCTGTGCTCCACGAAGTCGGTTGAATCTAGCAGTTCCCAAAGAAAAAATACCGTATTCATGTCTCAGTCAGTGCATCAATTCAATTGAGATAAAGAAGTTGTCAAAGCACAAAATTTTACAAGCAGTCTGGCAAATGGATTTGGCTAGAGCTATGACCACTTTTGCACCTAATCCCATGCTTTCTTCTTCTTCGGTAAACAAAGTAAACTGGAATGTATCTTCCCCTCCATTTACCAAAAAGTCATATACTATGCCCGAAACACCCTGGCTTTGGTGAACTAATTTCAGCAGCTTGTAACAATAAAATTGATGATAATTGCCTTGGTGACGGCGAAGCGCAAGTATTACTTGCAGGCGATGAGTATAATTGAAAAGCTGGAGAATTGTGCGTTATTTCATCTATTTATAATAGGTTTAGATCAAACAAAGACGACGGCAAAGATGGAGGTGGAGAGCTACTGTCTGAAAGAGTTGGAGGGATATACTTATATAACTCATCAGCTGAATCATCACTGCTTCCTACGTCTGATCTAGCTCCAGATTTTGGAACTAGGGCGAGAATTCTGCGGGCTCTGTTTATTTGTTGTTGAAGCTTTTGTTGTGAAATCTGGAAACAAACATTTATTATCCTACAACTTATCTTAAATAAGTATGAGAATTTGTACCAAAGCATATATAATTATAAAAACATATATATCTATCTACTACAGTTACTGTACAAGTGTTTCACAAATTAAGTTTTTAAATTTATTTAAATGTGTTAATTAGGAATATAAAAAATCATAATTATTTTTTTGCATAGACATTGCATATCAAAAATTTTTTTTAAACACACACACATTTACTGATGAACTGGCAGTGTATCTTCGTAGATACATGTCAAAGTAGCACTAGTGTTTTGCGTAGCTGGCAGTGTATACTCAGAGATACATATGGACAAACTGAGTTGTAACATCGAATATATAAAGTTTTGGTATCAAAAAATTACATCCAAGGATATTATAGTATTACTGCATTTACTTTCACTTCAAATAATAATCAAAAATGCATAAAAAAGTAGCAAAATACATAAAAATTACCGGCTTGTGCGTAGACGTCTGCTTACGGTCCACCATCTTGCGGGCTACTGATAGTTCAGTGTTAACAGCAATAAAACTATAAATCATACTAAATATCATAGTTCATAGACTAACTTATTACAAGAAAATCTATGTCAAAATTTGTTTAGTTTTCCTACAATATTTTTTTAAAGAGCAGTGTATCCACTGATGCACTCTGCCAAGTTAGGGGTTAAGACACCCACGGGATGAGATAAAGAAGTGGATTTTTTTATCGCCACCACCTCACGCTTAAGTCTATCCTGTTGTCAAAAAATGGCGACATTATATAGTATAGAATATACGATTTTTTTTCGTATTATGTAAAGTATTTTTACTTCTATCTCCCCAGGCACCGATTTAATTATTAATTGCAACTTTAAGTTTATTATCTACGTGCCTGGCAATGAAAAAAACATCGTGAGGAAACCTTCATGTCTGAGGCACAAAAGTTTGGAAAATATTTGTGAAAATTCAATGTGTAATATTCGCTTAAATATAAGAAATCATTATAGCTTTACCCTTCTTTATCGGTCATTGAGAGTCTAATGGTGGACGTGTGAGTTTCCTGTTGTCGGGCCTGAATCGCCTGATTAATTGTCACGCTTGGCAGGTATATTTATGATCATAGTACCATACGTCACACCATACAACTTTGACGCCGTTTCCCGTCGCCGGTCTGGGTATTTATATCTAATGTAAACGAGTGCTTACACCGCCATCACTCGGAAGCCATCATATATTTTTTTTGAATTTCCATAGCCAACTCTTTCGACAACCATGACACTAATAGGGTAATAGATTCTCTTACGTCGCCACAACGAATAGTTCTTAGATATTTTTGAAGTGAAACTTCTTTGTCGACATAGTGAAGAAATTTAGTACGGTATAAAAAGAAAACAAAACAAAAACGTCACATGTTCTTGTAGGGTTTTCTTGTAACGTTTCACCACCGGGGCTGTATGAATATAGGTACTATTATTTAAACCACTTCTGTAAAATATAAAGCTAGAAGAATGATGTGTAGAGAAGTTACACTTCGTACGTGTGTACACATTTTTTTATATTAAACTATTAAAACAAAGTTGTACATTTAAGATTTATTATTACAAATGAGTACATATAAGTGTTCTTATAATTTAAAATAACATAAATAATTTTATTTTCATTTCAGGTATTCGTACTTTCTGCATTCGTCGGCGATACAAATAAAATTTGAGGTAGGTTATTATTGAGGATAAGCTATCAGAATAATAATCATTAACAATGAGTGTATTTATTACGCCAAAAAATTTAAACAGTTTAGCGGAACAACTAACATAATTATTAAACTTTTCATACATTTAAAAACCTGATAGTGTAGTTGTATTTCTGTATACTTATGATGTGTAGTAGAAAAACTTCCTGTAAGTTTAGAAAATAATGTCATATAGTCATTTTTACGATTTACTAAGCGCCACGAGGCCCAAAAAATATTAATGTTACTTTTAAGGTTAGGATTTGCTGTTACCAAATAGGTAATAAAGAAATAAATGTGCTAGAACTTATTATTAACGTCCGAAGTTTAGACAGAAATACTTACCTAGCTATGGTCAAAAACGTCTTTTTCACTTTGTGAATTCCTTGAAACCAACTGCAACTGCCCCTAAGTCACTGCTTAGTGTCGATAATTGTCACTATAAATTGAGTGTCGAGCACTCTCTGCTGTTTCTCCAGCACACATAAGTACTTACTAACTACATTTTTAGTAAAAAAACGATAGAAAGATTCTTTATCGCTAAGAGTCTAACTTAGTTTTTGTATTGCTAAAAGTGATCACTTATCTACCTAACACATTTCATTGACCTACGATAAATACTTACATAGGTACCTGATGAACAAAATGGCAAAACATATAATACCCTATGTTAAAGTGGAATGGTTCATTAATTAACATGATTTTCATATAAATCTCTTACAACTACGTCATCCAGAAATTCTGCTGGAGCAGAGATATTTTCTTGATACCTAGCCCATCCAAGCTACCACACTAACGTCATAACGCGAGCGCAACGTCCAATGGTTTGTTGACCGACCAAACAATTACAACAATATTCGACTATACAGGCTCTGCCAGGCACATTATTTTCTATAAAAATGTATACATAATATTGTTTTCTTGAAATGTGCATGAACTTAACTTTTCTATCTCTTATTAATATTCTATCACAACTTCCTCTGAGATTATACTGAAAAAAAATCCCTACATATTTCTATTCTATATGATCCATGAAAAATACACAACAAGACTCAAATATATGGAGTGTAGAGTACAAGGAGAACCATCTTATAAGGGGCGAAAGTTGAAAAAGTGTCCTACTATTTACTGAAAATAGAGGTTCCTAAACCTACCACAATAGCGCTGGCGTCTGAAAAACTACGTTATGAAGATAGCTGTTGTGAACGGAGTGAAGTCAGCTGAATTCAAATATTTATAAAAAATTTCATGATTAGAGTCGTTAGTAAAATGCCAGTATACAAAATCTCAACTATGTACATAGTACAAAACCAAGCGGATTGGTCGGTCCTTGTTTATTTCTCAATCTTATTTTATTTACTTTTGGCACTTTTTTTAATTTATCTTATGCTACTGCAGCGCCGCCCTTATTGGACACGTTTTTAGGGACACTTTTCATTGTATAGAGATGGTCCTCTTTCTCTCTACACTACATACTCAAATGCAACAAAGAAGGACTGCGCCGATGCCAATCGCAGAACTGCCAAATCTCAAAAAAATCCGTTTGACTCATGCGCACTCAATGACATACAGCATGATTTATTTATTTATTTTTATGTTATTTTTCATTAATCTGTACTATACAAAGACCAATAAAGAAATACTTACTGATAAAATAAAACATAAAAAATTACAAATATAATTTGCAATATTATATACAATATTAAAAACTATAATAATAAAAAAAAAACTAAAACTAGAAACTTAACCATCATATTATAGTCCTACTCCCCGTGGTATCGTGCCAAGAACGCTGGCTGCGTTTCCCCACTGAATGGCTATACTTAACCTTTGAGCGAGAAAAGAACCAGCCCTCTTATCACCAGCAGCAACGACCAGCCGCGGATGGAGTTCCTTTAGGAACTTCATCGCACGTGGACCCCACGGACTGATAGTCTCTACAGCAAATGGTACAAATATGCAGTCATCTCTCAGAGACTCATATTTGCGCCACTTACTCAGTTCAATCATCATAGCATCTTCCTGATAATAGCCAAAATAACAATAAAAAAACTGCGGTTGCCAACCCGCTCGCCAAGCGTGGCAACTATGGCAATATACCCCCCATGAGCAATGACAATAATAAACGGCCCCCAGTCCCCGGCGGCCCCGCTATTCCTGGCTACGGTGGCGACCATGGTAACGGCGGGGCAGGGGGTGCTAAGAATCTCCGGTGGAGGTTCGGTTGCCACCTACGACGACTCGACCTGGCAACATACAACGCACGCACACTGAGGACTGACGAGAAGATTGTGGAGCTGGAAGAAGAGATAGACAAGTTACGCTGGCATATTATAGGATTATCCGAAGTCCGAAGAGAGGGGGAGGACACGGTAATCCTCGAATCCGGCAACTTGCTCTATTACCGGGAGGGCGACCATCTGTCCCAAGGAGGTGTCGGATTTATCGTCCACAAGTCTCTCGTTAACAACGTTGTAAAGATTGAGAGTGTGTCGACGAGGGTTGCGTACCTTATACTCAGAATCACCAAACGGTATTCGCTGAAGGTCATACAGGTTTACGCACCAACCTCGGCACACCCCGATCAGGAGGTGGAGGAAATGTATGAGGATATCTCTAGAGCCATGCATTCCTCCAAAACCCAATATACGGTGTTAATGGGAGACTTCAATGCAAAACTAGGCACAAGAGAGAACGGTGAGCTGAAAGTAGGGAAATTTGGAATAGGGCAACGGAACCCAAGGGGCCAGCAGCTGGCCGACTTCATGGAGAAAGAGGGACTCTTTATGATGAACTCTTTCTTCCAGAAGCGGCCCCACAGGAAGTGGACCTGGTCGAGCCCCGACGGTTCGACAAAAAATGAGATTGACTTCATTATGACGACCAGACGACAACTGTTCAGTGATGTCTCAGTGATCGCGAGGGTAAAAACCGGCAGCGATCACCGAATGGTTAGAGGCACACTGAACCTAAACGTTGAGTTGGAGAGGTCTCGTCTAATGAAGTCAACGCTCCGTCCCCCTCGTGCTCTAATCCAAAGTCCCGAAACCGTTCAGCTCGAGTTACAAAACCGTTTTCAGTGCCTAGAAGACTGCAATGAAGTGGACGATTTGAATGACAAGCTCGTGGAAACTGTCCATGCGGTCGGAGCTAAGTTCTGCAAGACCCGCCGCAGAAGAACACAAAAACTCTCCGATCACACTCTTAATCTCATGGCTGTTAGACGGGAGATGAAGCTACATTCTTCAACAGATTTAACAGCATACAGGCAACTGAACAGACAGATCTCCAAATGCATGCGGCGGGACTTACGCAAATTCAATACAGCTCGTATTGAAGAAGCGATCGAGCGGAACCGAGGCTCCAAAGTCTTTGCCAGAGATCTGTCTGCCAGAAAGCGCCAACTGTCAAAGCTGAAGACAGAATGTGGCAGCATCGTTTCCGGGGCACCTGAGATTTTGAGTGAGATTGAGAGGTTCTATGGGCAGCTGTACACGTCATCGTTGGAGCCGCACGCAAGTGTGAGTAACGATCCAAGAGCGAGTCTTATCCGACATTATTCCGATGATATCCCGGACGTCAGTCTGAGCGAGATTAGAATGGCTCTCCAGCACCTTAAAAACGGCAAGGCCCCAGGCGAGGATGGAATTACAGCGGAGCTTCTGAAAGCGGGTGGAAAACCGGTACTTGAAGTCCTTCAGAAGCTCTTTAATTCCGTCCTCCATGGTGGCATTACACCGGAGGCGTGGAGCAGAAGTGCGGTGGTCTTGTTCTTCAAGAAAGGCGACAACGCTCTCTTGAAGAACTACAGACCGATTTCCCTTCTGAGCCGCGTCTACGTGCT